ACTTAAAAGATAAATTGTCATCACTAAGTAGCTCAGTATCAGAGGAATGGGTTCTCAATTAGAAACAGCAGATCTGGATACATTTAGGAAAAAAAAAATATTCCAAATTGTTAGCTTTTTCTTCATGCCACACAGCATAACCACCTTCTGCTGTGAGGATCAGAAACTAGGACAAAAGGAAAAAGCCTAAAGATGATAAAAATAAAAATATTCATTTCTTCATTTATTTATGCTCATATTTGGTAGAAGGCAAACATTATCTTGCAACAGCCAACTAAGAGCTTCAATTAAATGGAATCAATTTCCAACTATCAGTGCCTGAAAAGATGCTCACCATCACGGCACAGCCTACACCCAGGTGAGTTCAGGTCACCGGTTTGTGAAGGGACCAAAAATAATGTTAACTGGTGTGAACACAAGTGTCCAGACACAACGTCCTGTTCTGACAGCATGATTTATAGCTGCTCTGCCCGTTTCCTCACTTATTTGGTAAATTTATCGTAGTTCACCCATTTGCCTCCACTGAGGAGTAAGTCATCTCATAATCATTAAAGGAGGAGAATATGCACAAGAGCTGTCATCATGGTAGGCAGCATTTCAGAGTTCCCTCTCCAGCCCAACCTCGAGGCAACTTGTTCAGTGCAGCGAGCCTGGAAACAACAGCAAGTTCATCCCAAAGAATCGGGGAGGAATTAATCATCCTTTCAAGTACCTGTAGTCTAAAAGCACAGCAGGCTCATTCAAACACAGCTGGTGCAGTGCCCTCTTCTCCAGGCCTCAGCTCAGCATTCACGGTGCCATAGTCTCCAACACTGCTAGTAAGGACTCTCACCATTATCTCCTGACCTTTCCCTTTTTTTTTGTCTTCCTAAGTTAATCAGTAACCAGAGCCTTCTGCCAACAGTCGCTGCTACTATTTCAAGATCCCGTGGCACACAAAACATTAAGAGATTCTGCACCTGATTACAAACATTAGCTATTTATACAGCAGCTTCTCTCCTTTCACGTTTAAGCTCCTCAATGTCTCCCTACACTATGAATAAAAAGGAAAAGGTGTATTTCACATATTGCAAGACAATATCAGCAACTCTAAAATCCAATTATATCATGCAAAACACCCCAATTCTCACCTGCAGACTGTAAGGAACAAGCCTTGCCATGTTCCTATTTAAGGAGCCTAAGAGAAATAAAAAGAGCAAGACATTTTTATGAGACAGTTACTGAGCTTTAATCTCTCACTGTTGTTATCCGTACCAGTTTATGACTGCAAACAAGCACAGGCAGCATCTAAGGTACTATCTATGACTATAATTATTTTTAAAGTCTTCACCTCACAGGGTTAGGAAAAAAACAATGATATGCCACATAGCCATAACCATAAAACTGCAGATGGTAGCTGAGCTACTTTGTTCTTGTCTAATATTGAGATCTCATTAAACCGAGTGCTTAAACCTGAAATAGTTGAGAAAAGAAGCCTTTAGTAAATGCTAGTTAAAAGAGCTAAATCGTTCTGATTAAGCATCCATCCTTCCCTTCGCTCAGCTTTCAAGCTCCTTGTTATTTTATCTTTCATATAGTTTGTCACTTCTCAATCTTGCAGTCTAGACAGCCCCAAAACTTATGAATAAAGGAAAAGGGGAAGGGGGGGAGGAAAAAAGACAAAGCACTCAAGACATCTTTAAGCCTCGTAAAGAAGCTGAGAAAAGACACTTTTTTCTCTTATTTTTTGATTCTAAGTTAGATCACCTTGAAGACTCCTTTGACCAAAGTCATTCAGTAAGACAGGCAGAAACTTTTCCTTGTTCTAAGTCCAGTTCTTTACCCAGTACCTGTTCTGCATTATTATTATTCTTATTCAATCTTCAAGAAACGAACCCACTTTTTTTATAAAAGGAAGGATGCACTACACACCACGTATTGAGTTCTAGCTCTGAAATATTACAGCCCTTAACAAGCAATTGCAGCAGCACTCAAGATTCTGAGCTGTAACAGAGAACTTCAATAATTATATTTGCTCATTGCTTTCTCATCGAGCCAGCTACTAAATGTAAGTAAATGCCTGCCAACCTATTCAGGCTATAATTGTAAGATGGAAGAGGAAATGACATAACAGAAAAGTAGAATTTATGCAAAATGTTGGCAAGATTTAAGCAAAACCCAGAAATCATCATAAATTAGCCCTACACTCTAATTCATATTACTTGAATCAAGCTTCTCTATCCTTCCACTTCAACATGATATGGCAGGAAGTAATTAACAGAGACACACTCCCTTGTATATAGCTGGAAAGAATTAACTAGCAGCTCATTTGTGGTATTGTCTCTTTGGAAAAACAAATTTTCCCCATGTAGAACAATTTGTTTCACACATAACTCCAGAGATTTGCAGTTCTTAGTTCTTTAAATACACATAAAGACATTTATTGGGAGCCCATAAAGGAAATTTAATCTTCACAAGGGCTTTGCTACGTATGTAGGTGAAGTGTTACAGAGAGGTATTTATCTTTAAAAAAAACAACAAAACACACAAAACAAAAAAAAGAAAAACAAACAAATGAAAAGAAAACCACCAACCCCCCCAAAAAACCCCAACAAAACAAACACAAAAAAAGATATCCAGAAAACCAATTCATATAGAGATCTGAAGTTTAGTATTATGTACTACGGACTGAACACAAGCATTAATTTTTGCTATTCCTTTTCCCTCTCTGCTTTTCTTCTCAAAACTATAAAACTTGCTTAGATTGAAACCTATTTTTCATAACTTATTTTTTGCTCTAGGCACAGCACACAGTTTGTGCTCTTCTGGTCAGTGTCACAAAAAATCTAGAGCTAGAAACTAGTTAAATTGCCAATAATTAGACTCCTATTTTTTTGAGCACTAAAGGCCACTAAGAACATCTGAGGATTTCATTAGAAAGATAAATAAGAGATACATATATTTTTTAAGTATTAACTTTAGTAAGGTTTGGAAACAGATCTGCTAAACCTTCCAAAATGACAGGCCTCTTATAAAAGCTTCATAACTTTGTCACTGAATCAATGAGAGCAAGTTCTGAGGACTCAGGATACGAAAGACAAACAAGCATTCCACAGATCCAGTGTTATCATTAATATATCTTATGGTTGTAATTCCAAGTTCCATAAACAAACAAACAAATGAAAAATATATACAAGCTACATTCCTGTCATTTAGCTATGCTCTGTGTTATTTTGGGTTATTTAATAAACTGAGTTTGCAACCAAGTGTAGGGCAAGATATATCCAGGATTCAAAATTAAAGGAAAAAGTAAGATCTCCCTTTCATAATGCCAAAGTCTAAGCATGTACATCATGCTTCTAGCTGTAACAGTCTTGGAATACTGTTTAAAACATGACACAGATATTCCTGCAAACTTGTTTTGGCTTATCAGTTCAGACAAGGAAAACTGTCAGTTTAAATAAAGGGGAAGAAAGCAGAAGACAGAGCACAAGCACCTTCCGTCCAATGCCTCAGAAAACAAAGGAGCCAGATGGACCAAATACACTGAGCAGAGCTCAGAAGATGTGCACCAGTCTGTGACACAAATACATTCCTACCTGCATTCCTCAAAGGCCAAGGAATAGTGAACTGGCACGAGTATGCCAGTAACAGTTGGCACAACTGCGCCCCAGCTGAAATCAGACATAAAAAGGGAAACAGGTTCACGACCAGAATTTTTTATGAAGCCAACAATTTTCAATATCCTAAGTGTTTGTATTGTTTTAAAGGGGGCAAAATTCTGGACACCGTGAGGCAGCAGTACGACACACAGCTGAGTCCCCTTACAACCATGCAGGCAGCAAAAGACCAGCTTTTTGATGGGGTGCCTAAGGCCTGGATTTTTCAAGCAGCACTTCCAGGTTTAGAGGGGTAGCAGTTGCCATCCTCGTGCTCCATTAGTACCTGGTCCCTGCCACTGCTTTTCTAGGAAGGACTTTGACTCCTTGATCTGTGAAAGCAGAGGAACACCCAAGCTGTCCTGCTGCCTTACCCCTTCCCTCAGCAGCAGCACTTGCATGAAAAACTCGTACATTTCTCTTCCATCACCCCAGCAAAACCCATAAGGTAATCTCACACCCTGCATCATGGTATCTGGAGCTAATTTGTCACACAAGGACAAATTCTTTGCCCTTTTCCACAGTTATGAAACCTGTGTTTTGTGCTATGCAAAAAGCTACGTGGCAACACCACAACCCTAAATGAAGAGGAAGTTATAGCTTGAACATTTGTCATCCAAAATAAATTAAGTATCCCCTCAAGCTGTAATATGATTTACGTAGTGCAACCTAAAGGAACTCACCCTGCCTAAAAAAGTTAAGGGGTTAAACAGCAGAAAGTTTTAAAATGACACTTTTCCTGGCTTTCCACTAGGGAGGGGACAAGCATGACAGCACAGTGGTAATGACTTTAAAACTACACACAATTCACAAACACAATGCTCATCCTCGGTGGCTCTGCGGTCTTCACAGGAGGGAGGGAACGTCAGTGAAGACACGTTTTACACACCCCAGCTTCAAGGCTGCACACACACCTGCCTTCAAGAGGACTCCCCTGAAACCACTGCTGATGAGCCCAGCTCCTGACAGGAGGGGGAGAGCAGCCCTGTGCCAAAATGAGATCACACCACACTTCGCTGTAACAAAAGATGACTCCAGGGAGTTTGTGCTCACCATCATTATTCCACACACGTAAGGGCCACCTCCAACGGCTTTTACTTCAATTAAACCTTTACTACTATAAAGGGCAGAGGGGACACAAACACATTTACACCGCGCTGATCGTGGAAGAAAAAGGAATGGAGTATCATTTCCTCTCCCTGTTTAGAGACTTCCCCCCATAACAGGCAAGGATCCCCCCAGCATCTCAAGACAACTGCACAAACCTGGTGGGCAAGAACACACCCATCCCTTGCCCTCTAACCATTCTCCCTCCCCCTCCCTCCCCCCTTTCTGCTTGTTGTTTTCCAGCTGAGCACTTGCCTCTCCTCCGTGCCCATCAAATATCCCGAAGATGGAGGGGTGAGTCTTGTTCACCAGGTCAGTGATTACTTCGAACCTGTCCTCCATGTGATCCCTCCGGCCTTGGATGGAGTAGACAGCCACGTTGTGGCTCTTGAACTCCCAGGTCTTGGAGAACTCTGCGTCCAGCACGTCTAGCCCCCCGAGCCTGTCATTCTGCATGATCTCGGCCACCTTGCCCTTCACCATCTTCACCGCGTCCCTGCTGGACTTCACAATGGTTTTCACCTCATCCGTGTGGAAGAAATAACTCCACAGGGCCAGGCTGATGCACAGCAAGAACAGGGTCTCCGGTCTAAGCAAGAAGTAACGCATGATCCGACCCAGCAGAGACAGCAAAGTCATTGTATCCTCTATCATTTATTATCGAGCCCGTGCGGTCCCCACAAACACCATGCACGGCTCAGCCTGGGGCTTGGGAGGGCAGCGAGCCCCGGGCGGCCGCTCAGCGCATGCCGAGCGAGCTCAGCGTTCGCCTCCTCCCTCCGAAGGCCTCGGGGGGG